TGATAATGATGGGGGATTGGAGGTTGATATGTTGGGAGAGGAAGAGGACGAAGTGGTGCCGGAAGCTCCCTGATGGTCAATGCATGAACAGCATACATGGATTCGAGATGACGATGATCGATATTTTGTCAATTCATACGATAGAACAGGTCAGTACACCAAACGAGTGGGCAAAGAGCACGCTTGCGTTGCCCAAACTGAAGTCCCATGCACCTATCACGATGCCATGAATCGCCCTGACTCCGATGCCTGGCTTGAGGCTTGCCACAACGAACTGATGTCCTTGAAGGAAACCCGAATCAGTTAGTACTGATGGGGTATGTCGTTGGGTATTTGCGTTGAAAAAGGGGGCAGATGGATCTGTTGAGCGTTACAAGGCTAGAATCGTTGCCAAAGGTTTTGGTTAGATTTATCAAGTTGACTACAACGAAACCTTCACACCTGTTGTCAAGTGGGTATCAATCCGAATCCTACTCGCTATCGCTGTGTGACTTGATCTTGAGGTACACCAGATGGACATGAAAACCGCCTTCTTGAACAGCGATCTCGAACACGTTATCTATATGAATCCGCCTATGGGGAGTGCTGATTATGGGAAGGAGAATGTCATTTGGGAGTTGGAAAGGAGTCTATACGGCCTGAAGCAAGCTTCAAGGTCATGGTATGAGAAGGCAAAGAAGAGTTCGTGAAACTCAGCTTCTGCTGGTGCGACTCTGACCATGCTGTGTTTGTTCTTCATGGGAAGGACAAAGTTTTTTGCATCATCGCCCTCTATGTTGACGATCTCATGATCCTTTCTAACAACCTCAGCCTTCTTAATCTCAAGAAGTCCCAGCTCATGAAAACGTTCAAGATGAAGGATCTTGGAGAGATTCACTGGTTTCTAGGACTCGAGATTACTCATGATCGAGCTCAGTACTTGATCTACATCTCCCAAACCCATTACATCAAGGATATTCTTACTCATTTTCATTTCACTAATTGTCGTCCAATCTCTACCCTGATCGCATCTAACTTCAAGTTGCCCTGACTTGATTCACCTGAAGTTGACGTCTGCGATTATCAGTCACGAATCGGCAGCATTATGTACATGATGCTTGGCACACGTCCCGATATCGCCTATGCAGTGGGTGCTTTGAGTCAATATTCTGCCAATCCTGGGAAGGAACACCTTATCGCTGTCAACCGCTTGTTCAGATATCTTAACTATTCACAGAACTACAAGTTGGTTTACAATGGTAAAGCTCACGATAACGACTTCACAGGTTACTCCGATTCTGATTGGGCCGGTGACCCACACGACCACCGATCCATTTCTGGCTTTGTATTCAAAATCGCTGGAGCCGTTGTGTCCTGGAGTTCGGGGGAGCAGTCTTCCACTGCACTGTCCAGCATGGAAGGGGAGTATATGGCGCTTACCCATGCTGCCAAGGAGGCAATATGGATTCAACAACTTATTGGTGATGTTCTCAAATCCTGCTCTATTCCTCATACTATTCTCAGTGACAATCAAGGTGCCCTCACCTTAGCCATTAACCCTGCTTACCACGCATGCATGAAGCACATCCATGTTAGGCAACATTTCATCTGCGAGTGCGTCAACAATGGTGATGTGGATCTTGACTATATCCTGATGGCTGATCAAGTAGCTGATGTTCTCACCAAAGGACTTGTGCAGATCAAACACGAGAAGTTCACCAAAGGGATGGGAATCATTAATGCCAATGTTCATTGAGTGGGCATATTGGAATATCAATGTCCATGCATACTGATATTTTCTTTATTGATGCGATATCAATTGAGGATATCATATATACCTTTTGTCTTGATGTCCTCTTCATTGCCGGTTATAGCAGGCAGTCGCTATAAGCGATATTAGCACTAGGTGTATAAAACACACTGTGCACGGAAATTTTTTACACCCCCTCAATTCTCTTGCTTGGGACTGAGGTGATATCCTTTTATTTTACTTTATTCCTTGTATGCGAGTTCTGACTGTATTTACAGACTGCATGTATAGGTAAAGGAACAATAAATTAGTTCTCTTGTTCGAGACTGAGACCGCACGTTGTAACAGGGAATTTATCCCAACATCACACAGGCTCACAGGGGGGATGGTAATCTCCTGCCTGCCTCTCTCAATCTCACCAAAGGTCCTTGTAGTACGGTGCTGTATAGTTGTGGCTGTGCAGTCACGGGACTACCCCAACTACACTCGCCACTGTATGTACATGAAAAGAATGAAAGTGCACTGATTTGTAGTGCAAGGGTTTATCCCTGCAACAACGTATAGCTTATTTACTTTAAGGCATAGCCTCGGTCCCAGGCCTTCTGGTCGCAGATTTAAGTGGTGTTAACAGCAGAACCGTTCGGAAATAGAGTTGGTGATAAAAATTTCATTCCTCACACCCAGAAGGCCTGGTATGTTTCGTACCTCAGTGTCACTTTGGAGGGTCATGTGTCTACATCTGGTATGGCCACACTGTCGCGTGAATTCGGATGAGCCCTGAACAGTCAGGGAGTGAGAAAGCAAGTCATGATGCATTGAGAGGGGCTTCAAACCCCTCCCAACGTTCACCTTCTGAAAAATCCCAGCAATTACTGCAAGATGCGCGGGATCATGGAACCCAGTGCATCACTGGCATTCAGGGTATCCCTTACAGCTCCTCTAATTTCCGTCTCGTAGTCAGTATGCGATTTAAGAAAGTTACTGGGTTCAATGTGCGTGAGTGGCAACTAGATGTTCACTGTGGGAAGTAAACTCTGGTAAATTACCAAGTTTTCATAGGTAAAGGACCATTTACTAAGTTTCGGGTGGTAATTGAGGGATGGTAATGTACCAACTCACCTGACAAGGTTGGTAACCAAGTTCTGTGCACCATATTTTACCAGATATCCTATGGTATTTGGCGACGCAATACATAGTGTAAGATTTCATGTTATGTACACCAGTTTTACAGTAAAGCACGATGTAGTCGATCATCGCCGACATCAAGGTGGACTGTACAAACTCAATACTACAGTCTACATGCAATCCCCCATCGCAGCGATGCTGTTCCATAATGAAACCTGCCACATACCGATGATACTGATGCTAACTTCGCGATAATATGTGTTACCTCTGAGAGAGAAATGAAGGGCATTTGAGTCAGTGTAGTATTGTCATGAGCTCTGCAATCAGAAAGAAGAGCGAGGTTGGCGCATTGATGCCTGGGAAATTCAAAGTCGGAGAGTGCATTCAAATATCTCACAAAGTATCCCATAGGATATATGCTTGATAAGCAGTCTTTCGATGGACATGGGGATTTGAATCTACAGCAGACTGTTTGCAGCGACACGTTGACAGTTGTGGCGCACAAGTTGCATTCAGCAACTCCCGAGTCCCTTACCTTCACCGCTCATCATCTGCCCTCCTCCCGACTGTAAATGCTATCGTGTATTTTGCCCACAAACACACTTCATTGAGACTTCTTAACCTGTTATATTGCTCCACTAGTGAGACAACACGCTTTCCATGGCAAATGAGCAATAAACATCGGAATTCCAACATGATCAGTCTTATCTGACATGCCTTATCATGCATCCTATCACACATCTTTCCATGTGTCTTTCCACGCATCTCTCCATGCATCTTTCCACACATCTTTCCACGCATTTCACGCGTCTTTTGTCCTTCATTAGTTTGCCGATGCACTCTCCTTTTCACAATGTCAAAATAAGTATAGCATATACTTGTGGGACTCACCCGATCTGTGGATCTCTCTGTTGCACAGAAAATCAAGACTCCTGATCTGCGAGGCCAAGTTCATGGTCTTCTTTAGCATGATGTCCGACACGTAGTCTCACACACACTGGGGTGACATACCAACAACTGAAAGGGTCGGTCCCTTTATTGCTCTTGCGCATCTCCATTCTAACTGACTCTCAAAGCTTGTTTCAAAACACCCTGCGCTTGAGACTATGAAAATGAGTGAATCGCTGAATGCCCCAACCTGAAGTTAATGAAGAGCTGTATCGACAACTCATCATGCGATGCGATCGAGGAGGGAGCATCCCATACAACAAACAGCAAGGAAAAAGCAGAGCAATGCCGATGCCCAAGTCATCAGGGATTTGACCTAGCTATGTCTTCCATCGCTTGTCACTCCCAAAAGTCATAACCCATGTACTAACTACTGTTACTTTTTTACAGTACTTCTCTCTGGTCACTCACGCTAACTCCTTTCACTCTTACTCACACTGCTATCACCGACTCATTCAACTCTGCCCAATCCCACCTCTGCTCTTTTTCGCATAGAATGCTTCGAGTTTTCCACTACCGTTCAATCTCTCTTGGTACTGTACTGCTTGTGCATCGCCTGTGGGTCACTTCTGATGGCCACGGTTTGTGTATATGCATGTATTCACTATCATATAAAACACCGTAAATGAATACTCTCTGACCCATATTGCACCATGCCAAAGATTGTAAAGTACCAACAACGAATCAGTAAATGACCAAATACCAATCTGGTAAAAATGGCCGTTTACCATAAAAAACATCGTACATCACCAGAAAAACTGACACCATTTCTGGTCAATTACTGCATACAAATTGGTATATTACCGCCGCTCTGGTGGTGTTTGAACTCGTATTTTACCAGACGAAAAATGGTAAATATTTTCCACTGTGTGTTGCCGAAGCACTACATCTTCGTTTGAGCTGTGTTGTGATTGCCAGCACTGGATCCGGCAAGACTTGGCCCTTTGGTCTCATCCATCTGGTGGCCAGGGGCTTCACCAGTATTGTGGTGTCACTGTTGAACGCGCTTGAGGATGACCAGGTGAGGCCAGATGTCAGTAACCTCTGAGCTTACTTCTGATCGATATGCCAGGTTGAGCACTTCACAAAGGCTGGCATATTGGCGCATGCGGTAAATGCGCAGACATACCATGGAACAATGTTATCTCAGGTATGTTTTGACTTGCACCACATAATTAGGCTCACTCATCCATCCTAGGACATCCGAGCAAAAAAGTATCGTATATTACTCACTTCACCTGAAATGCTGCACAAAAACTCGGCTTTCCATGAAGATCTTAATGCGATCATGCCATCGATTGACAAGCTCGTCATTGATGAGGCACACTGCATTGATCAGTGGGGTGCTGATTTTCGACCGGACTATGCGATTCTTGGCGATCTTCGTTCATTTTTCCCTAAATCCTGGCATAGAGTGAGATTGTAAGTGGTTTGCAAGCATTTGTGGAACTGTTCTCGCTCACCATGTTGGGGGACTTTATCCTATTTTCCAGCGCTTGCCTCTTCAGCCACGTTATATTTTGCAAGATGCTCCAAACAGTATGTGCTTTATCCTGAATGATCCCGATCATATCAATGGGGCTAAACTTGATAATGTGTTCTAGTTCAAACCCGGACTCGTTGGACTCTAGATACTTCTTGATGCGGTCCATTTCCCTCCACCTTGTTCATTTACACTGTTGATAGCCCACTCCAACATATCCTTTCGTGCATGGCCATAGCCACGGCCTCTATGTCTTTTTTCCACCAGTCTAGAATATCTGGGAGATTATCATAGCATATGAGGCTAGCGCGTTCGGCGCTTATCAACTGGTCCTCTGCCGAATCTTTCGATTCAGTTCTGAAGCTGATGAAGTCTACCAGGAGACCCAATGTGAGGCCCGCTTCCCAGATTCCTTTGAGAGCTTGCACAACTGCCATCGTCTGAATACTCTCATTATTGGATAGATAATCCTGGCGAGCTTTTGAATCTGGATATTGTGTTGCAAAAGCAGGAAGTTGGGCAGGGATGGGGCAAGAATCGCTGGGGGATGGGGAACCATCTGAGGGAATACTGGGCACAGGCGACTCACTCCGGCCGTTCATGGTAGGGAGACAGAGGAAATTTTTTAGGGATCTGATCACTAATATTGCCGGTGCCACCCCATTCCTGTATCAATAATAATTTGCATTCTGGGTCCTGTCTACAGTCTACAGTATCGGCGCATTTCAGCCAGCTGGATGACATGAAAGAATGGAGAAATGGGAGGTTCCAAGTCGCAATTTAAGCTAGTTCGGAGCAGGGAATGTCACATGCAACTGGAAAGTGGACACACACAAACACCAACACAACACAACACATCAATTCAATGCCCCTATGGTCACGCGCAGCCCACCAGAGTGTCTGGCACCGAGACTAAAGGGACTGGAAGAGCGAGATGACATTTTGAAACCCTATGAAATGTTATTTATCAAGGATGGCAAAAGAAGGAATAAACGCGCACTTTCATGCAAGGCAGAGATCTGGTCTCTCCTCTCCTCTCCTCCTGTGGCTTCAATGAGGTTGTCTGTGATGTGGAGGGAGACCGGAATGGGCTCGCCATTAGTTGGTACTTCAACAACGATGTGCAGGTGGTCCCCTTCCACACGAGGGAACACTTGCAAGAGCGGTAGGAGCGGCTTCAATGGTGTGAGATCGATGTCTTTGAGACTTTCGTGGAGGTCATCATCTACGCGTCGGCAGACCTGCCTGAGGATAAGATCCGAGGCAACAACATGATTGAGGCGAGGGGACCGTTTCTCCTTGATCAAGTCTTTGAGGGTGCTGACGTTTTCGGTCTTCAGAATCCTGACTGCAAAGATCGGATTCGGCTCCCCACCAACTTGGAGAACGAGACAGTTGAGCGAGAGAAGTTGCACGGGATCGGGAGCTCGGTTCACTTTTGAAGTGGAATATAGGAATTGACACAAAGTCAGGTGTCTACTTATCGGGATGAATGTTGACGCACCGGGCAACTTGATGAGCAGTGTCTCTCCAGCTGAGATGTTCAGGCGTGCTATTACCTGCCTCATACGGAGTTCCCCAATATTAGAGAATGCCTTGCTGACTAGCTCCTCAAGCACTTCACGATCATTATCGACGAAATTAGCTGGTGAGTTTGTAAATCTCCACACTTCGAGCTCGCTTGCATCAATGTCGCCAAGGACACGAGGTGCCTTGGCCTTGACCTTCTCCGCCAAGTCATCGACATCGGCGTCGGAAGATACTTCGACCTTGAATGACTGGCCAGTAGGCCTGTTTTTGTGATCGACGAGGAGGCACCAGACTTCCATGACAGTGAACCAGACACAATAAATTCGGCTAACTCCGTGACAATTACATACATCTGCAAGTTGCGATGAACCCAGATCGATAGGTCAAATCGTGAGTGGTCCGACGGGTCCTAGGTGGTGACCTTCTACTCTAACAGGCTACAGCAGCCGCTAAATACTATTGGGGTGCTGCACAATGAACCTATTCGAACTTAGGCCACCAAGTAGCCGATGGAACATTCAAGCTGCTTCTGACGTTCGACGAGTCCTATCCCAACAAACCTGCCACCATTGCCAAATATGCTCCATCCGAACGTTTATGCGAATGGAGAGCTTTGCTTCAGAATCGCTGGTCACCCACGATGTCGCTGCGATACTAACGAGCATCCAAATGTTTGTTTCATGATCCCATCCCTATGGGTTTTGTTGGTTTTGGCACAAACCCTTGTCCAGGTCATCTTATCCTGCACAACACCATTTGAGAGTGATTGATTACGCATGTACAAACAGTCAGCTCTCCTTTAGGGCTCATGTAAATATATGTGACAAGTTTGGTAACAATGCGATGTGCTCAGAGTCGACCTCCCCCAAGCCCGTGTCAAGCAGATGGAGGGGATGAGGCATTTCCTGCTTCGATTTTTTTTTGGGTTCTCACATGAACCATTGCATCACACTCTGGGGGTTTGGTTTAGGTTTACTTGAATTCTACCTCAACATCTTTCAAAAGAGTTTCTCCCGCTTCAGCAATTTATTTGCTCTGCAACACGTAACTGTTCTCGACATGCATCAAGTCTTGCGATCCATATGGCACACATCCTGTCTCTGCATCCACCATCCATTGGCCCTATCCTCTCTTCCGATTTCGAGGTTGTTGGACTTGGGCAGTTGAAGTCCCCGACGCTCTGGAGACACCCTTGCCAGTAACCTGGTTTTTGGCTGCTGCACATGTGACTCTGGGGGAGGAGTGGTGGTATAGTGGTAACACCCGCCTACCGTTCTCTTGCTGGTGGTTACCAATTGAGGGCGCATGGGTTCGACTCTCTGCCGGGTGGTCGCAATACCCCAAAGAACCAAGAGGCACGTGTTTATGCGTCTGGCCAACAGTTCCCGGGGTCGGTCACATGATTACTTAATCACCGGCTTCTCCACTACCGATTACATTGAGTATAGAAAAGGTTCATATCATATGACTAAGTCTTCTATTCACTGGCCTCTCATGGGACAACCGGCCAGGAGTTAGGAGTTCAATCGGCATGGCCCAGACGTTCTATAGGGAATCACTGGGTGCGGTGATACGGTCTACCACCGTCACAATTCAGAAGAATTTGGATTGTTCAGTGGCGAATCCGGGCATGGGCGAACAATGTTGGTGTTATCCGGGAGCTTAGAATCATGTGGAACTTGAGTATAGAAACATGTATGATAATATGCCTTGGGCCTAGCCCCTTCCCCTTGGCACCCTTGCGGGCAGCCTGTACGGGAAGTAAAATATCGAGAACCACACACACACACACGTGTGACTCTGGGTGTGATGGCTGGTTCCGTGGATCTCGGGCGCTTTCTGCCCTCTGACCTCAATTTCTCCCACTCTAACCGTTTCTTTGATTCTAGAAGTACGGTTTTAGGTCCTCAAGGGCTTGCAAATTCTCTTTAGATTCTGCTCTAGGAAAGTCCTCAAGGATACTCTGAGCCGCGAGAATGGATGGGTAATGGTTCTCGACATCCGGTGAAACCGCCTTAAAAGTTTTGGAAGTGCAAGTAATTTTATAATGGTGGTCATCTGGGAGCATTTCGCCTACAGAGCTGCGAGTCGTGAGATGTGTCACCTTAGTGTCGATGGTCACAAGTGAATCTGTTGCTGCCCTCTCATATCCGAACTCGAAAATGATCGATATTACTGGCATGGAAATTTCCGGAACAGTGATCGAGCAATCAACATGGCAAGCGACAGCCCGTTTGCGATTCTTGAATTGCAAGTTGATGGCTGATGTGAACTCCGGCAAGATAGTCCTGCTTGTGGGACCCATATGGACAGGAATGACGGCATCGATAGAGTCCTGGTTAGCTTTGGCTTGGAGGGTCATTCCACGCCGTAGTGCCACTGCCAGATTTTGGGCAGCTCAGAGGGCGTTCCGCTATGCATGAACTCACAATGTTGGGGAATGGCATAAACAACGCGCATGTGTGACTCAACGAGTTCCGCTGCTATCACTCTTGAGGCCTGAGTGGTCATGTCAAAGGTTATCCCAATGCGAACCCCCAGCGCAGCCACTTGAGCGTGGAACAGTCTCTTCTTGTCCCCTTGCACGATCAGTTTCTCCCTGACGAAAAGTATAACAGGCCTTCCTTTCCTCTACCCAGTTTTTGTGGTGGACATACCATCTGTTACGAATTTAGCCGAATCTTCCGCAAATCGAGTGGAAGACACTTACAAACTACGTCCAAACCCTACCATTATACTGGGTTGGCACCTGTTTTCGAGGCTCGGGTTTTTCCGATCGCGTTTCAAAGATTCAAGAACTTCGTTCTCAAACACGTCGAACGGCAGCTCGGTGAAAGGGGGGAAGAGGCAACGACCTTGAGCAACACGAGCTGATGGATGGCTGGCTGGCTGGCGAGGGTGCCAGTTTCTGGAGATGAGGACTCGTGGACAGGAAAACGGAAAAAACGGCGCAATCTGTCAGCTCAGCCAGCACTGTGCCGAGGTTATGATAGGGCAAGCGAGTGCACGTCACATTCTGCGGATCCGGTGAGACAGGTTCGGTAAGTCGGTGAGCTTCATCAAAATAAACGATAAATTTGAGTTCACCCGCCTCCCCAGGGAGAGCTTCGACAAAGCGGGAACATGAGACCTTCATTCGGTCTATAGGGCTCGTCTTGTGCTATATCCAGTGTCGAAGCTCGAAGCTTTCCAAGGAAAATCAGCATGTGGCAGCAACAATAAAGCCCTCTAGATACCAACCTTCACTGCCTCAGCCGCCACAGAATCTAGGAAGTTTTTCCTGTTGTTACCAACTTCGGCATCCGTTCGTCCTTTGTTGAGATAATTAGTCCATTCAAGTGCTAGCGCTGCTCCCGTTTTCTTTTTCTTATTATCCTTACTGAAGATGGGGCCGTCAAGAAGCTTGGTGGCATGTTCGAATAGCAAGGCCAATATAATCGCATATTCTACCTGCAGGCGATGATCGGTTTTCGACTGATGTGATTCAAAATATTGTCGAAACGCCTCGTCCGAGGAGGGTACGCTGGCAAAATTAACGTCATCACAAATATGGAATCCGCGATGAAACATTGCGCACTTCGGAAAAGAGAGCCAATGTACTCACGAATATTGATAGGAATCGTAAATATGGAGCGCGCGGCTTGCTCGACCATCCTGGATTTCCCCGTTCCAGAAGACTGGATGACTGATAGGGACCAATTATACGATTCCCCAGATGACTCGGAACCCCGGCTTGACCCAGACTCGTACCCAGTCGGAGGAGCTCTGTGGACGCGCTTTTTTGCGCAATGTAAATAAATGTTCTCACACTGGTACTGCTTCCGATGCTAGTCACGTTCTGTACTCAATACAAAAGATCACATGGTACGGAGTTAAACAAATATCCGATCACCTACTCCGAAACTTGGGCAAAATGTAGGTGGCGATGCATCGGAAACACCCGACTCTCACGCTAAGCCTGAACAAGTTGTACATAGAGGTTGCACAATGTAATTGTGTCAGAGACCAGATCGAGACAAAGGAATGTCTCTGTGGCGGAGGGCTTCAGCCTCAGCAACTTATGCCAGGAGCACTGTGCCAAGTAACACGTCTGTGCCCTAACTTACTAACTGGCAACCAGAACTAAAGGGGGTCAACTCTAGTCGATTTTATTACTGGGGTGTAACCTATGTACAAGTTGAGTATATATATGTCATATCCGTGCATACCCGACCCCGACCCGACTTCCGGACCTCCACCCTCTTCACCTCCGGAGTCATAACCTACCGTTGCCATTCCGATACTCACCTTCGGTCCTGGCAAACACACCTCCCCCTTACCTCTCCGACCCTATCTCTGTCCGCTCCGATATTCATCCCGGACCGAACATCGCCCCACTCACCACCCTCCTACTACTCCGCTCCCCCTTCACAACACCTCCACCCTCCCGCCACCCTCCTACGCTTCCCCCGTCCGCTCCGATACTCACCTTCGGACCTGACTACTCTCCTTTCCGCCACTCCTTCTCCCCTTACCTGTCCCCTCTCTCCTCCCTCCGTTACTCCTCCACCACCCTTCCGCCAAGTTACGACCTTCCACCGCTGTCCCGTACTTCGCACTCGGACACCGCTCGTACCTTACTCCGAGCCTCCATCATAGTCCCTACCTCGGACTTTGACTCCACCTCGGCCTTAGTCCATTGCATTGGTGACCTCATACTACGTAAACACCATTGCCAATATTCCTCGGACTTCCAACCCTGCCTCCGTAACCTCCGTAAGCTCCGCAACCCCGAGCTTCGCGGACCGCCTTCGGCACTCTCGCCGCCTGTAATGTATTTCTCGCATTTTCCCTTCATCCCTATTTGGACTACTGCTTCTTTCTATTCTAGCCAGTTAGTCATCATCCCCACTTCCCCTCATCCTCCTGCCCCTCTGGGCCTCGCCCTCTCTACCTCCTTTCGGACGTATCACAGGTCTTGCCCTATGACCTTCGGTACCGCTCCGCCCCCTCTACCCTTTGTTCCCGTTCGGACGTCTTCGTTCCGATTCGGTCACCCTTTGTTCTCTTTGTGCTTTTGCCCCTTCCATTATATATATCGGCGCTTGTACATACTCGTTTTGGTTTCAGTCCGAAATCGACCTGAAATGCCCCCAAGAGACTTCCTGCTCACCTACTGTGAAATTAAGGACCACATGGACAAACAGCAATGGCACAGCACTCCGCTTGAGTCGCTGAGGCCAAGGTCCCTCCATGCTAAGTCTCCGATTCCACTCCGGAGTCGTCCATTTCCGCCCATTCTAACAATATAGTTACAATG